ATTCACGCTTGGTCGCAGCGAACATCCAGACAGAGAGATTCCAGAGACAGAAAGGTAGTAGGTTACAGCCTGTGCACTAGCCGAGGTTAGTCATAAGCTGATGAAGAAATGCTAGATTTGCATACATGGGTGTGTGATGGTCACGAACGCCACACATGGTGCCGTTCACCGATTTGAGTGTACCAACTAGAATACTCTTAGCAAGAAAACATGGGAAACTGATTTCACCGAGAAAATAGGGTGATTATAGTTACAAGGGTAGCCCAGTCAGAGTACCGATAGAAAACCGTGACGATACTGAACAATCGCAGCCTTGTTGATCACTCACTTGATAGAAGAAAGGCCCTATCTCGGGCAGCGTAAAATGACAGCTTCTGTGGTGAGGTATTAGCCTATAAAGCCCTGCAATCAACGCCGCCAGGAAGAAGGGAGCGTTTGCCTGTGAACATTGGAATCCAGGTAGAATTCTCCACATCTAGTGGGGCTACTGAGAAAGTGACGCCGAACTCAAGCAGCCAGATTTCAGTTACAAAGTGACTGATCGGAGTACTAATCTGATGTGCCCTCTGCGGCGGTCAAAAAAGTGAACAGATAAATGCAAGCATGAACTTTCAAAGAAGCAACGACTCGCGGAAACGCCATGTGGGTTAAAAGAAGGGTTTGCAATGCGGCAGTGCGGATCAGAGACATGACCACTGTGATCTGGGGAAGTTAAGATACTAACAGTTTTGACCGCAATGCTTGCGAAGCTTTGACCATATCCGGTGGGAAAGCTGGATAACTGATAAGGGAAGTTGTTATCCCAGTTGCCAAATGGAGTGGCTCGATCGTGTGGTCCGTATAGATGCAAACAGATTAGCTAAGCATGTGTTGCTTGGCAATACTGCTTTACACTTATGAGTAGGGGGATTTTTTCATGTGATTGGTTTGCCGAACAATCTCTACGTGGTGCCAACCGCGCGATTCAGATTATCCCGTCCCAGCAAGTGGTCCGGCGACAGTGTACCAAGACATAGGGAGTTCTCACAAGGCAAGCGTTCTCCCTATAAAAAGCTACATATGTCCGTTCAACGACATTGAAACGTGGCGCATGTGATACGCCACTAAGGTCACTGCCCTTTGCTTCACCCTGGTGGAGCATTGTATTACAGTAAAGTGATGCTGCAATGGTGGAACGGACTGGGACGTTGTTTGGTAACCTATCGGCTACTAATGGCCGTAATTTCCCGAATTCGCCAGTATCTTGCGGGTGGGTTATTTAGCCAAAGGTTAGAGGTAGTATCCCCTAAGTTAATACTTAACTCGGTTTGGGCAACAGGGTAGTATCGTGTCCCCTGAAGAAACCTTAGATTTTGTGTTGTGTTTGAGTTTCCTTCTTACCATGGAGTACACTCCATCGACATCGAGCGCACGGTGTTTTAGCACATGCGGTCGCCAGTGCCTAAGTTAGGCAGGCTCAGTGAACCACGAGCAACGTCATTCAGGACAAGTATCGGAACGAGGAAGAGTGTTGCTAGAAGGTAGGCAGTACCGGCGCAGCGTTGGTATGTACGCTGCATGCGCTCCCTTGCGATTTACTAACCGCGTGCTTGCGTGCTGCGTTGCTTTATCTCAGGTGGTTGGTTTTCTATCTTGTCTTCATGCTTTTTTACCTCATTTTATTGTCCACCAGAGTAATCTTCTATAAACTTTTACACGTCGCTCAAGCTAATTTTGGTTAACTTCGTAAGCATTTTCGCGTTTGTAGCATTTGTTAAGAAAAATCATTTTCTTACAGCGTGAACTTATTATGGACTAGTTAAAACGAACTTGTTTCAATGCTTATTTAGAGAAGAGTTATGTCGTCATATCCGTAAGCTTTATTCGATATATTTTATTTGTTATTGTTATTACAAGTGATTGGCTGTTGCTTGACATCCTCGGTGTGGCTGCACTTGATGTGCATGATGACAAGGTGCCTACCTGTCTATTATCCACTACCTCATTAATACTGGCTCCAGGAGACAGTTGGTCTTTGTCGGAGGGGACGGGGTGCACGGTCCTCGTGGTCGTGCTAGGCTCGAAGAGTGGTTCGATCCAGTGTGGAGCGGACCACGGTCCAGCCACCGCCTTGTGTGCGCTTGATTCCCCAAATACAGCGTGCTTGTGTTTGCCTGTGAAGGAGTGTGGGCCGACTCCGTTGATGAAACGTCGCTCCCATCCGCATGCCTCCTGGTCTTATTCCTTCGGGTTTACACTGGATATGGGATGTGTGGATAGAGCTGTGGGTGGTGCAGCGTAAGCCACCCATGGTCCCTCTGTAGGCGCGTGCATCCTGAGGCTGTCCTATGGAGGCCACAGTGACAGGCAACTCCGGAACCGGATGCTGCCAACCATGATGTCTAGTGCTGCTGATGCTTGTCATTATGGTGTCCGTGTGGAGTACCGTACTGATGGCGTGTTGCTGAACATCTGCCATTTAGGAGTAAGAACTCTAGTGTGTGAGACAACCATCCGTATGTTGCTGTCGCCCGACGACTGCGCGCTTTTTTTGCACGCAGCGAGGATGAGTTGCAGCGTATGACGGCGGATTTCGATTCGACAACGGCCAAGTTCGGACTCACCATCACCACAAGCAAGAATGTTTGTCTTATTTATCCGTCACCAGAAATGGAATCCGCGGACTGCTTGCAAAGCAAGATTGTTGACGAAGTTTTGGAGACCCCATCAAGATTCGCCTAAACCCGGAGCGTACATTCTACGGACCTCCAGATGACGAGCGAGGTGCGTATCCGAATATCGAAGATGAGCGCTGAATTTCGCAAGCTGGAATATCGGGTGTGGAAGAATCATCAACTGACTTTTAGGATCAGGCTTACGAAGTACAAATCGATGATGCTGCCCGTCGTCCTTTAGAGTAGCGAAACATGGACGCTACGTAAGCAGGACATTCGATATGTATAACGCTTTCATCAACAATATCTGCATCGGATTCTGCGCATCGGTTGGTATGACGGAGTTCCTGACACGAAGGTGATCTGCCGACTTGGCATGTATGGAGTGAGCTGCATACCTCTGCTGAGACACCTGAGGTGTATTGCTTTCTTATGTGATATAATACAGAAAGTATCTATGCACTTTACATGTACCACTGGTGAGCCATAATTCCACCAAAGGCCACTAGTCCTCTGATTTCCGCTATTTCAATAAAATTTTACAATGTTTGTAATCAAAATCTTATTGTACAGATGCCGATTATTTCCCCCCACATTATAGCCGTTAAGAAGGTCGCGCCTTCATTCTTTTCTCCCAGCTTTCCTTCTGACTTGCAAGCATTGTGCAGAATAACTAGGAGGGTTGCGCTAGCCGTTTTGTCAGATATTCGGCCGGCTGTGGAAATGTTTGATGTTTTCTATAAGGCCTCGAGCCAAACACAAGGCGGATGACGTAGACCTTAGCAGAGAAGGGCAGACGGTTTAGTAGGGCTCAATATATTGGTCAGCGACTTCGGTTCCCACAACAATGTCAATGGATACTATCTCCAGCATTGGACGAGCTAGAAAGTGGCAATAGAAACAAAGCTTTTCACAATATCAACCTATCACGTCGTTGCAGACAAAAGGGTGCCAACTGATTCGAGCGACAGCGGACGAAAGTTGGAAGGGGTCAAGTTGCGTTCCTGTAGAAGAAAGCGGCCTTCGCTGTGGTCGTGTGCACAAAACCGCTATGACTAAGAAGAACCTAGTTCTGACTCGTCGTTGATAATATTGCTATCAGAAAGAAGCTGTGGATTGAGTAGCCCACTTCTCACTTTTGGGGTCAAGAGTAACAAAAACGAATGCAGGTCAGGTGACAGCAATTCGCAGCTTGGAGGTGTCAGACACATGAAAGAGATTGAGAACACGTTCCTTTGAGGTTGTATTGCCGATGTTACCCAGCCTGATGACGAAACGTTCGCAGCCAAAACGCCCAGATCAGCGAACACCCCGTGCTACAGGTATTCGCAGTGATTGCAATATTGGACTATGAGTCATCGTTATTGCCAAATGGTAAAGTGAGGTCATCTGGAAAATCTGGAGCGACCAGATCAGCCTGAGCAAAACTTGAATATTTCTAAGAGACGGCACTTCATGGTGGAGTCAATGATAAAATTTAGCGGAACTAGGGATGCGGGACAGTCATGACAAACGCCACCTGTTTAAAGAGGAGTCCCGACACTTCACCATAGGTTCAAAAGCGAGTACAGGGAACGTTAAATGCTGCCAGAACCAGAACGGGTGGAGAGTATAGTAATATAATATACCTCCTCGACGATGGTGATCAATTGAAGCTGGGCGTACGGTGTCCACTGTCGTAGCACAGCGAACAAATGTGGAATGGTGATCTCCGGTGAAGTGACAGAAGCCTGACAATCCTCACACCACCACCAAGGACCGGGCAGCTGCTTGAAGATCCAAGATCGTGATGCATCATCATCGTCCGAGGAAGGCAAGCCAACGGGAGAAGGGGATTTCAGCTCAGCAGCCGATTGTAACTCCGCATCTTGTTGTCGGCATGCCTGTAGAGCAGAGAAAAGAAAAAGGCTTAGCGTTACGGATTGGATAAGAATGCGATGAATGGCGCACATAAGTATAAGGATGAAAATGAACAGAAATTGAGTACTCGCTAGCGGAAAAAACAAAACGAGGTGTACAGGTACAACACAGCAAAGAGGAAAACCAGGGGCTTATCAGTAAACATGGGAAGGGATCAACATTTGTCGGGTGCGTTCTACGGTGCATGCCACGGCGTGAAAGGTCACTTCCTCTTGCACTCAATTCCTTGCTTTTAGTTCTTAACTGCCTGAGTTGGCAATTTCCATTATTGACCATTCAATTTGAAACAGTATTATGCCGATGAATTGAGCCACGGAAAATGGATTTATTGCATTTAGGTACAAACATGCAGTTGACCTCCAATCGCAACGGGAGTATGCTTGGAAACTCCAAAAGAACCAACAGACAGTTGAATGAATAGAGCAGTCGAATGCGGTGAGATGAACTCAGTAAACAGAAATCGCCGGCCACTGTAGAGCAATTACTTCATGTGATGAGATTCAGCTGAATAAACAAATACGCGTTGTAGATATTCAGCTTTGGCTAATAAAACAGGCATTTCTAGTGGCACGCCTGTTATGGATGAAAAGATTGAAAGGTGAAGATTATCCTCTGTAAAGGAGAGAACTGCCAAGTTATAGCGACTATACAAAATATGTGAGATTTCGACCCCAATTTGGATAATCATGCCGCTAGAGGTAAATGGAGTACAGAATTAGGTTTCGCGCAGGCTAACCACTAACGCAAGAAGAATGTGGCCCCGATGGATGCAGTTGCCGAGACTCTGGGTCGTCCACCTGGCGAAGTGAAGCGCTGAGCAGATAAACTATGTGTCAGACGGTAAAGTCGTATAAAGAGGCTTAACAGAGACGTAAGCGGAGCTGAATATGGGAAGCGTCTACCTCAGTGTGGTCGATCAGGTGATCGATCGAGTAGAAAAGTGCGTTTTTAAAAACCCAGCTAGTTGTACTTTCCTGATACTTGTGAATAAAGTGTTTTTGTGTAGAGCGGTGTGAGTTCTACCCATGACGCTGCTGGGAGTGGCAGAAGAAAAGAAGTAGCGTTTACAACAGTGGCGACAGGAGTCAGAAGAACCCAAAGGTGTCAGTCAGTTTTGAACAATTGAAGGCCCTTTTGCAGCAGCAATAGCAGTTGCAGTTCGAAAAGTTACAGAGGCATTTGATCGAACTGTTATCAGAAAAATTAAACATTCAAGTAGGATGGGAACTGAAACTGAAGCTGACATCGCAAGAAAATGTTTCAGAATGCCAGAGGTTGCTCAACTTGAATCCTGGTACAAATGTGGTCGCAAATTCGGAAGCCAGGGAAGAGCAACACTTCTGCCACACTGCCACTTCAAAATCAGATGTGTCCATCAGACCTGAGGATGCGAAGGTGGAAATCAGTGAGTCAGAGTACTCAGATGTATAGACGCCACGAAGCAATACTCCAACCTGGTCAATAATGGTGCAGAACCACCAGTGCTGCCCTGAATCTCAAGTCAGTCGCTAAACCAGTATCCAGAGCAAACCGCCTTGTGACAAGCAGTAAAGAAAAGCATTGCCGTTATCATGCGGGGAAAAAGCGGACAGACAGCGTGCGTCAGTACAAAATTGGGAGCGTGGTGTACGCACGAGATTTCCGAAGACCGAGGAGGTAGTCGACAGGAAGATTGATACACAGGAACGGTTGGGTCATCTACGAGCTAATGGAAGGAAAGGGGAAATGGGTCAGGCACACCAATCAGCTGAGGCCGAATCACGGCAAGACTCAAAGTTCCCCAGAACCGCCATCATCATGCTATACACGTTTTGTTTGGAAGACGAAGCTGAGCGGTTACGTGGATCACAACATAAGATGCAAGCAGCAGATTAAGCATAATGCAGGCCAACCCGAAATCGGAGACGACCACCATGGCCACAAGTTGATCCACAAAGCGGAACACAGCCCGTCACTTGAGCGCAACTCGACCTGTCATGCAGGCCAAGTCGAAGACGAAGGAAACCGCGATGGCTGCAAGTGAACACCAGGGTAAAAGATACGATTAAGCTTAAGTGCGGAAAATAGGAGCAATCAATTTGAAGAGGGAGGTAATAGAGACGTAAGCAGAGTTGAATATGGGAAGCGTCTGCCTCAGTGCGGTCGATCGAGTAGGTCAGTGAGTTTTTAAAAACACAGCTAGTTGCACTTTTCTGATACTTTGAATAGAACATTTGTGTGCAGAGCGGTGTGAGTTCTTTCCCTTGATGCGGCTTAAAGTGGCATAGAAAAGAGGTAAGAAGTCCTGTTGTAAAAACAACAGGACTATGCGTTGGAGTGAGTACGAGCGGTCCCAATGGACGCTAGAGGCCTAACATAATGACAACAGATTTGTTTGAATCACTATAATGAAAAAGGATCACATGCTGATGCCCGAAGACGATGCGTAGACTAGCAAACGAGTGAGGGAGGAGTTTAGAGACTGTCACCAAAGTTAACTATCATGACAAAATCACCCAGTATTAGATAATCCCCATCCATAACGAATAGTACAAGCCTTATGAGGTTTGTTAGCGTATTAGGAACTACGGTGACAATTGATGTGATTACGGGCCTCCTAAACGAAAAGTACCATGCGCCATATTCCAAGCGGATGCACCATTGAAGACAAGTAAACAGTACAGGTCAGCGTGCCGACGGAGCCAGGAAAACAGTCAGTAATAGAGCATCAGTTAGAAACTGATGACGCTGCGTTGGACTTGTGGGACTACAGGATGGGTAACATTGGAATGCAGCAACCGATATTTGGTAATGGGCATCCAGGGACAACAAGGACAGTCAAAGAAACTTGTACCGCCCCTGGTGATCGCCTCGCAGGTGCGCTATTCAGCCGCTCCGTTGCGCAATATTTTCACAGTTCGTAGTTAACACGACAAAGATCCAGCTGATGGTAAAACAAAGATGCGCGAAGGAAATGATGGCTGAAAAAAACCGGAAGTAGTTACAACACTTCATTGGATGGCATGTGGGTGACAAAATCGGCGGCAACAGCGTTTGACAAATTTGACTGATATAACGCAAGCAGGAAGTCAAAACTTCACTCGTATCTACTCTCCTGTTTCAGATTACAAGTCCTACTGTTGGACGAACGGATTATTTTCAGTGTCATAGATCCCATCCTCAGTATTAGTCGTCTGATCGACAGTAGATAAGGAAAATCGAGCTAGCTCACTTCGCTGACCGATTTGAGCTTCGTAACGTAACCAAATCGGAGGAACGTTAGCAGCACGAGGATTTTCTGGTAGCGTCAATAGTTAAGACAGTATCGATCGGAGTTGACGGTAACTGGACGGCAGATGAAACAAATGACGACTCAGCAGCGCTCTCACCAGAACATGTGTATCGGTGGTCCACCTCATACTGTTGTAAAGTAGCTCAGATGAGAGGGTCCACACACGTCAGTGAAACCGTAACGCATGGTTTTCAGATCATCATCATCAACAGCAGTACATCAGCCATTTGAACTGATGCTTCCCTGCCATACAACCATGAGGACCTATGAAATAAGGAATATGAAGAGGGAGAGAAGGGGGACTTACCTGAAAACCTTAATGCCCTAAGCAAACATTCAGGGTCAAGGCGCCTACACCTTGTGTAGACAACATACCGTCACAAACAGCTGGCTATGGTGCGAAGATAAGGCGGCATCGGCGAGACAGCTTCTTTGCGGCTTTCACTGCCACAAGTCATAATCAGCCATTACCCCGCAGATAACTCAGCATCAAACAAACTTTAAACAGGCAATCCAATTAGGAGACGACAGCAGACGCGCCACTGGTGTCGGTTGCGAGACATGTCATGTTAAGTCTCCAGCCAAGCACAAGGCGAGTCACGCGGACTCCAGCCTGGAAGGCGAGACGGACCAACGGTACCCAGTTTGGTCGTCAGTGTCTTCATTTCCCGTTGCAAAGTCAACTTCTGTCCACTGCGAGCATTGCGCCACCCTACACCTGGCAGACTAAACAAGGCCCTCCTAGGTAAGCGGTGACCAGGCATACGTAGCACGAATCCAAGCCAACGCAACTTATTCAGTGCTATCCGTCGTTCTAGGGAGCTAGCATGATTATCATCACCTAGTACTCGCCTACGCACATCATCGTTGCGGACACGATGGTGCTATCCGACTCCAGCAATGCTTCGCAGACAACGATGATCAAAGACTTGAAGGCGCCTCAGATCTTCAGAGCGAAGGGGCCAAGTCTCACTATCATAGAGCAGAATGGCCCTCACTGTGGCCTTGTATACACGGCCTTTCAGACGGAGGGAAACTCCTTTCTGTCACCAAAAATGCCGCAGGTACAAGAGGGTAGCTCTGGCTTTTGCAATGCGTGAGCTGACGTCAGTTTCTATGCGCCCATCATTGCTGATGCAGCTGCCAAGATAAGTGAAATGAGCAACCACTTCGAGTTCCACGTTTCCAAGCGTTAAGGGGTCATCAAGTGGCTGGTGGTCCTGCAGCAACACTTTACACTTTGAAGGTGCGAAGTGCATACCAAATAATGGGACCACTCTGGACAGGCTACTCAGGGTTGATTGGGCCGCTCCAAAATTGTCGAAAAGCACGACGATATCGTCCGCATAATCTAGATCAACTAATCTTTCACTAGGCAGCACTTCAACGCCTACATCGTGAGATTCCGCAAGGTAACGCGCCTTGATAGAATCCACGACGAAATTGAACAAAAATGGGGAAATCGGACAACCCTGACGAACGCCACTTGTGGTCGGAAAGCTATCCGATAGGCCACCGTAGACCCTGACGCGGCCTGTAGTGTTCGAGTATAGAGCACGAACGATGTTCACATATTTCGTGGGAACACCTTTCCGCGCAAGTATTTCGAACAGAATCGATCGGTCGACTGAATCGAACGCACTCTTGAAATCGAGGAACACAGCTATTGTCGGTCTGCGGTATACGTGGAGC